TGGGGGGGATGGAGTAGCATTGTACTGATGTTGCATCGTAGTCTGTGAGATAGGCAAGTAGATCTCCACAATCTGACCAATCTTTGTCATAGATTGGGCAATTTGCTGGGGAGATTGAGACTGTTCCGGTGCAAGTATTGAGGGTTGGATGGGGTTCTGCTAGGATGGGGTTACCATATAGGTCAGTTAGTTTTGTTAATGCTATAGCTTGGTTTTCGAATGTTACTGTGACAAGACGGGAGCGGTCGGGTCGGCTACGGAAAGAGACTTTACCTACTTGTTTTTGGAGGCATTGTTGGAAGAGAAGGGTGTTGTCAGAGTAGGGAGCTGTGGGAGGGATCACGAAAAATCGGTCCCATTTGGCTGCACTGAAGAGAGTATTCAAGATTGTTTTAGAGATAGGGGTAGTAGAAGGGCGAGGGCGTAACGAAGATGGAGTAGTGTTGATGGAGGTAGTGTTATGGAGAGGTGGGCTATAAGGCTGTAAGGTATTAATAAGGGAGGATGGGGTGGTTGATGTTGGAGGTTGTGGGGGTAGAGGTGTTGAAGTTGGGCATGCTGGGAGAGTGGAAATGTTCCTTGAGGGTTGATTGTTGGCTACTGTACTAGTAGGCATTGATGAAGGGGTAGTTATTGCAGTGCTCGGAGCCGTGGTCAAAGGAGAGCCTGGGGTCGGGGAATCGGGTGGGTTTACTTCGTTGGGGCTATTTGATAAAGGGGCAAGCCTCATTGCCCCTAACAGTGGGGATATATTTTCATTACTGGCCATGGTTAATGGTTAATGGTTAAAAGCAAGATAAATGTGCTAGACATCTAAGGTCATGTAGCACTATAGTTAATATTAGTGAAGGGTGGTTGAGTTAGTGATTAGTTGTCTAAGCTGGGCAAAGGAATTAGTGAGTGAAAGGGTTAAGGTCGGGTGTTATATTAGATAAAGGGTATGCATAAGAAAGGTTTCTTGAAGGCATACAATAGATGGGTTATAAGAGGAAAGGATATGATGGTCAGGTCTGTGGGAGCGGAAACCGCGAATATTCCAATGAAGGATAGTTATACTTTCGTTGATTTAGTGATATAGATTGTAGTACGTGTTGGAGAATTTGAAGGGGAAGTAGCTAGAGGGTGGGATAAGGACTGAGAGGTTTGAGATGGGAGAGGTGTGGGAGTTGGTGTTCTATCAGGAGGGGTATTAGGAGATGGAGGGTCTGAGGAAGGGGATACTTGTGACATAAGGGATTCACGTGTGTATCCAGGAGGGAGTGGAAGGGATAGAGGGGATGGTGGGAGAGTTAATGTGGGCAGGGTTGGGGTCAGGGGGAATGGGCTGTGTTGGGAGGGGGTAGGAGGGTAGGGTGTAGGGGGGATATCGTTAGGAGGAGGATGGATATCAGCAATTACTTGGAGTGTGGAAGGAGCAGGAGTTGTAGGTTGAGTGTCGGTTTTCATTAAGTAATCTTGAATATTTTCAATAGTTTCTTCTGTGGAGTTGGTTGGGGAGTTTTGGGGGATAAAGGATTTCTTGTGAGGGGGGGAAGAGAGGACTGGTGTCTCAAGAGTACGGGCAAAGGATGGTGGGGGTGATTGTGTGGTAGGGGAAGAGGGGGTGGAACGTTTGTTCTGTCTGTTACGGGGAGTGCGAGGAGGGAGAGGGGAAGGTGTTGGGGTTGTAGTGGTGATTGGAGTATCTGTAGTAGAGATTGGAGTTTCTGGATTTAGGATGGCAAAAGAGTTTGACTGGGGAAGGTAGGTGGGGTTAGTGGGGGGGTTAGATGTAGGAGGGGTGGGTTTAGGAGAAGTGTTAGGATGAGCAGTATTACTGGAGTAAGGAGTAAGAGAGAATCCACGTCGACGTGCTTCCTGTCTGGCTTCACGCAGTGCGAGTCCAAGTTTGAATCTGAGAGTTGCTACCTCAGATTCAAATTTGTAGGTGGGACAGCCCCTATAAAATACATTATGGGGGCCGCCACAGTTGGCACATGTGCGTGATTGTGCAGAGCAGTTAGATCGGGTATGGCCAGGTTGGGCACATAATGGGCATCTGGCTGTGGAACGGCAGTGTTTGGCTGGGTGTCCTAGACGCCAACAATTTTGGCACTGACGTGGAGGAGGTTGGTATGGACGAACAGGGAGGGATTCTCCTCCTATGTAGACGTTAAAGGGAAGGTCATGTCTACGGAAGGTAATTTTGGCTATGTTAGTGGGTTTCTTTCGATGACCTCTGGGGGGGATGGAATAGCATTGTACTGATGTTGCATCATAGTCTGTGAGACAGGCAAGTAGATCTTTTCCACAATCTGACCATTCTTTGTCATAGATTGGGCAATTTGTTGGTGAGATTGAGACTGTTCCGGTGCAAGTATTGAGGGTTGGATGGGGTTCTGCTAGGATGGGGTTACCATATAGGTCAGTTAGTTTTGTTAGTGCTATGGCTTGGTTTTCGGATGTTACTGTTACAAGACGGGAGCGGTCGGGTCGGCTACGGAAAGAGACTTTACCTACTTGTTTTTGGAGGCATTGTTGGAAGAGAAGGGTGTTGTCAGAGTAGGGAGCTGTGGGAGGGATCACGAAAAATCGGTCCCATTTGGCTGCACTGAAGAGAGTATTCAAGATTGTTTTAGAGATAGGGGTAGTAGAAGGGCGAGGGCGTGACGAAGATGGAGTAGTGTTGATGGAGGTAGTGTTATGGAGAGGTGGGCTATAAGGCTGTAAGGTATTAATAAGGGAGGATGGGGTGGTTGATGTTGGAGGTTGTGGGGGTAGAGGTGTTGAAGTTGGGCATGCTGGGAGAGTGGAAATGTTCCTTGAGGGTTGATTGTTGGCTACTGTACTAGTAGGCATTGGTGAAGGGGTAGTTATTGCAGTGTTTGGAGCCGTGGTCAAAGGAGAGCCTGGGGTCGGGGAATCGGGTGGGTTTACTTCGTTGGGGCTATTTGATAAAGGGGCAAGCCTCATTGCCCCTAACAGTGGGGATATATTTTCATTACTGGCCATGGGAAGCCTGGATTATGTTGGGGATAAAAGCAGTCCACCCCTCAGGGTCCCCTTGAGGGGTAAGGGCTAGATAACTAAATCAGGGGAATACCGTGCCCATGGCTCCCTCAGGCCGTTCAGGACTGGCACAAAGTCAGCCTTTCATCCTTTCAGCACGGCTCTCACACCTTAGGAGGTGGATAGCAGAAGGGTTTGGTGAAGGGACAGAAACAAAAGTGGGAAGGGAAAAAAAGACCATGCATAATTAGTTGAGTCGAGGGCTGAGTCCCAAGGTTGGGGAGTTCCCCATCATTGGGTCCCAGTCTCCGCCTCCTAAGCCCCCCCACGACAACAACGGGCAAGGGATTGGGGGGATGCGGTAGATGAATGGGTGGAACATTTAGCATGTCTTTTGCCATGAGTTTACTGAGGATGAAGTGTTAGGTATCTGGGAAGTAGAGATTGGAGTATTGGTAGAGATTGAGGTGTCTGGATTCAGAATGGCAAAACAATTTGACAAAAGAAGTGAGATGAAGAGGAGATACTGGGGAAGACAGAAACATCTTAGGAAAAAAAAGAGGCATAGAGCGAAGGACAGTACTGGTGTAGAAAGTAAGAGAAAAACCTCGTCTGCGTGCTTGTCTGGCGTCACGCAAAGTCAGGGAATACCATGCGCATGGCTCCCCCAGGACGTTCATGACTGTCACAAAGTCAACCCTTCATCAATTCAGCGTGGATTTCACACCTTAGGAAGTGGGTAGTTGGTGTTATAGAATAAAAATTCTGCCACGCTAACATATAAGAGGCACATTGAAAATAGTAATGGCGTGGGGGGGGGGGGGGGGGGGGGGGTGATATGGTAAGTAGCTAAACGGGTTAGGAATGAATTAATGATTAGGGTCAAGTTACGGTTGAACAGTACTAGGGGTAGTACGATAGTGAAAAGGGTAGAGGGAGACGGGGTATGGTATAAGGTAAAGGTCGTTGGGTGGATTATGACAAAATATCGTGGCGAAAACTGCAAAAATGAGTTTAACGATTAGGATAAGTGGACAGAAAAAGGGGATGAAAGAAAAGAAAAAGGAAAAGAGAAATACAGCAATAAGGTGGGGCCTGAGGGCGTAGCCTAGTATAGCAGTATGATAAAAGTAAAGGTAAAAAGGAGTTACCCATTAGGATTAGTGGACAGAAAGGGATGAAGAGAAGGAAAAGGGGGAGAGAAAAGACCATAATCATTTGTTGAGTCGAGGGGTTATCTTATAGAGATTCATTCTTGTGTGGATACGAAATGCTACAAATTGTATGAATGGGCGTGGGATTACTACTAAATTCACTTGCAGTATTTTGGAACAAATCTAAAAAATTCTTAGCATTTTGCTATCCACAGAAGAACGGACATATACAAGAGAAGCATGGTTTTTCCTTCAATTCACATAAGGCCTACTACAAACAAATCGCTTTTCATAAATAAAACTTTTATAATAGATATTAAATATATTCCTGAGCAAATGTCTTGGTCCCTATATGGCTCTGGTTTGCCTAGACTAAAGGGGACATTTTCACTGCATGTATACTAATACCATTTCCATTACCAGGCAGGCTGAACTAGGGTGCACGGACCAAAAATTTGGAAATGCCACTTCAGATACAGCTGGATTACAGTCAGATATGGCTCTTAAAATATTGTCAATTTGCTTTTTCCATTTCTGCTATATTTTAGAGTGGAGTCCAAGCAATTTTCTTTCCACTAAAGGTGAGAATACATTTGATGGCTTTCTACATGTAACATGTCCAAACAAATGTTGCACAATAGAAAATCAGCATATATTTTGGTGCTTCCCAAAAGTTTAACTAATGTAACTGCAATTTGCCAACGATACACAAGTATTGGTAAGCAAACTTTGGATGTCAGAAGTATTTTCAGAAATATCTGTACACTTATTCTGTTCATTTGTGTACCTGCCAACTCCAAACTGTTAACACGATCCCATAAGCCTAAAGTGAAAAGGGAGGGGGGAATTAAAGTCAAATGTCCTTGTAACCACTTTATAAGCATTTATATGATACCGATCTTGTTAGCAACATCGAGGGCATCGTAGTCTGGTGCAAGCTTTACGTATGCCTTCTTCAAGCCATCAGGTCTGTGGAGTGTGTTCACCCGGACTGCATCGATCTCATACAGCTGAAATAGAATTTGAGTATAAATATATATACACATACAACTATACTCCACATTCATTGTAGAAAATTATGTTGGAAAAAGTTATTCCCAATGTATTTACATTTCTATTAACTGCAACAGATCCAATTGCTGTAATGACATTTTTATAGTACAAATGTATATTAACAAGCAAATTACTACCCGCTTTAAACATCTCTTGGCATTCTAAATATCAAAAAAATGTCTAAAACCATTTAATCTATTATGGACACAAAATTATGTTTTTTTTAAAAGCCTAGATGTACCTACAAGAGGTTTGTGAGCTATTTTCTCATTTAGCATGCATGCTAATATGATAGGAAGTATTTGTGTAGAAAATGTATTGTAGACTGTACATCTAAATTTGCCCTTGTGTGAGCCCATTTAAGCCATGTTGCATAATATTTTGCAGACTAGGAAATAAATACAAATTATCAAGTGGAACTACAAGTTTAATAATGTCAATTACCTAAACCAAATTGGTTTCATACCACATCCATCTTCAAGCTACTTAAAAATGCCTAAGTTTCACGTCATTCACGCCCTTCTCAAACTATCATTCATTCTCATTGTCGTCCTTACCTTCTTGACAGCAGCCTTGATGTGGTTCTTATTGGCCATGCGGTGCACAATGAAGACCAAGGTGTTGTTATCCTCAATCAGCTTCATCGCCGATTCAGTGGTAAGAGGATACTGGATGATTTTGAAGCAATCCATTCTGGAGGGGAAATAAAAATGAAATAAAATAAAACTGGTCTTGACTGTAAATGCACTCCATGCTGACAAGACTCAAAAGGTTTCAGACTGTTACACTACTAGATTAACAGTAAGCGATAAAATACCTAATATTAATTTCTCAATCAAGAAATGTAGTCCCAATGTCTATTAATGAAACTACCCATTATAAGCAAGCAATTACATACTTTGGCTTTCTGGGGGTTGACTTTCTGGGGTACTTGGGGTTCCTTGGCAGTTCAAGGGTCTTGGGCCTGCGGAAGCGGATGTTGGTTCTGATCTTCTTCACGCGGGTACCACGGGGCCCGTTGACAACCTGGTCAGGAGGAGGAAAGTACTTGGTAAAAACATTCAACTAATCAATTTGTTGTATGAATGACATCAGAAAAATGGTAACCTGCATTTACAAATCAATCTAATGCCTGAAAAATATTTTCCCGATCTTTTACGGCAATTTACCTTGGTTGCCATCTTCCTAGCCTTCTTGACTGCTCCACCCTTGCCCTTCTTAGGGTCCTTGCCTCCTAGTCTCTTCACATTCTTGTTTGCGGGCTTGGCAACTCCCTTAATGGGGGCGGTCTTCTTAGCTGGGGCAGCTGCAACCTTCTGCTTCTTTGCTGGTGCTGGCTTCTTAGCGCCAGCAGCAGCAGGCTTGTCCTCTGAAAAAAGAAAATTCTTGTTTATTTCTTTTCCTCATAGAACTTAATCCAAATGTTGAACACTGATATGAACCATAGCCAATTGTGATGTAATATAAATGGAGGTGCTTTAGCAACTAAATTTCTTTGAAAAGTATTGATAAAAGTAAATTTGAAACCAAAAGGAATTTTCAGATATAGCTTATGGCATTACCCTAAAACCACCTTTATACAGTTTACAAGGCCCAATTATAATTCCTCATAAATAAACCTTAAAACAAAAAATACTGGCATCAGAATGACAGTTTTCACGAGTTTAGACTGTTTTGGCAATTGCAAGTTGCTTATTCATAATTAATCTTCATATAATTTACCAAGAACCTAGAAGTGCTAGTAAACCGAGGAAATATATAATATACACAAGTTACATAAGCCTACCCTGACAATGTTCATACTTCCCTTTCTTAGCAAAAGTCACCAAAAATAATCTACACCGCCATAACTCACCACAGCATCTTTTTGACAATGCAAAGTTTTTCAAAATCCTACAAGATCTTACTATAATAACTTGCAGTCCTCAAGGTTCCCTCGTTTCTTTGTCTACCAAACATCTTGACAAGACTTTATATTCAGGGTTCTTATTAATAGTGCACAAGTTTCTAAGCAGGTTTCCTAGAACTCATCCCAATTGTCTCCCAGTCACAGGCTCAATTTTCTTGCTATCTTTAATGTTCTGTCGTCCCTTTCATTACTTGTAAACTTCTTAGAGACAATTTAAGTCACTGATCAACCAAGACAAGACAAGCCATTTATAAATCTCAATTTACTTTTCCCGTGAATGAAGAAAAGTCTACAGATATGCTTTCCTCTTACACTTTCCATTATATTATATCAAAATTACATACATTGATAACATGGTTAAACTTTATAGTATGGATGCACAAAGCTAAGCCTCGCATACCAAGGTGAAGATGTTAGCTGTGGGGACACCAACATTCCCCTCGGGAGATTAGATTGAACAAATTTCTTAAATTGAAGAAACACCTTATCTTTAAGGCAAAATATTCTGTCACTTTATGGAGAACGGCAATTGAAAGGGGGCACAAGGCAGTGCCCCTGCCTCTGGCTTGGGAACTACCTACCCTGAGGTGGAAGACCCAAAGTTAGGAGGATTTTTGGTTCATATGGTGATCTTTGGGGTAGTTTGTTTTTGATGGGTTTTATTTGACTGACTATTGAATTGTGCAGTATTGTAAACTTTTACCAAATATTCTATTATCAGATTCCTCCTTTATTTATACTTGAAGCGGTAGATTTACAACTGTCCCAGACCTGTCAGACTAGGCTCCCAACTTCAATATTATCAGAATATTTATGGATGGAAACTACAATAGCTGCATATAATAGGACAAGGTTATTTTCCATTTGGGAAAAATTAACATGTTATGGATCAATTCTATAAGGCATAAAATGATCCAAATTGCTTACACTAGTGTATTCAATCAGAAAATACCATCAACCTTAATTTCCCCTAATCTTTGAGGTACATGCACACTAAGTTTTGCGCAAACCCAAGATAGCCTTGTGGAGGACAAAGTTGCAGTTGTTTGTAATAGAGAATCCAGACATGGATATTAAAACCACAAATAATGGAGGCATTTGTTACTGAGTGACGCATCACAGATGACTTCCCAGAGACCAAGCTATCATGCAAACCCAAAATTCCAAACCTAACCTTTCCTACCGTCTACTTATTTCCAATTAGCGCCCTATGCCAAATTCAAAATTCCAGAAAACACGACCTTGTGAACCCTGGCTGCAAGGGTGTTGTGGACTTGTATCTGTGCAGTGACATGCAATGGAGATTTTTTGCAATTTTACAGTACAAGCTTGCTGCAGCTGTGCCAGTACTTATTATTCAATTTCTTCTACTCTATAATATGACAGCGTCCATTTCCCTCTACGTATGTTGCTCTCAAACATTAACCATAAAGGAAAAAGTTTGTGACAAGTGCTGTTCAGTCAAACTCTTCTTGGTGCTTCCCTCCTCTTGGGCCCATGGGGAGGTACTTTGGCTTCACAAAGTCATCCAATCTTTCACTTATAATTCCTACTTTCAATTATCAATGCTGTCATAAGCATGAAGCTTAATTTCCTTTGCAAATGATATAAATATAAAATCAAAGGATATTTGTTAACAAGAGTGATGTTCCCTCTGGCCAACAGTTTATTCGCACCTGCCTGAACATTGGGGTATCATGTGAACCCCAAAAAATACAAACCTAACCTTTCCTACCTTCTATTTATTCCCTAGACATGGGGGTCAAGACACCCTGGTACCCCCTTTACTGGCACTTCATGTCAACTTACAGAAAGTGCATATAATGTTATAAAAGCAACAGAAATAGAGAAATAGTCAAACAGGTACAACTGCTCCAACCTCATGTTTACCACAAGATGACAAGAACAGTGAGTGGGGGTATGCAGTGGATAAGTCAGTTGACGTTACCAATAGCGACGCATGTGAGGGAAATGAACTTGGTTATCTTATAGAGCATAAAAAATACAGGTCTATCTGCAATGGCCTCATTTACTAGGAGGTCACAAACCACCCTCTGTGTGTCACTACTCAAGAGAACACCCTCACACAGCCAGTTCTGAATGCCGCATTTTCTGCAAGTTCATAAGAAGTGTTAATAAAGGAGGTATAGGAGGGCTTCCCCCTGTCTAGGGAGTAAACAGAAGGTAGGAAAGGTCAGGTTTGGATTTTTGGGTTCGCATAATACCCTGGTTTGGGACTTTGTATTTGGAGGGCGAGCTGCTCTCCGTTACAAATCCTGACAGGTCCACAACACATGGGTTCACAGGACACCATGGTTTTAGGACTTTATCTAGAGGGTGCATTCCTTTTGGTAACAGATCAAAAATACAATAAGAACCCTGGGGGAGTTAGTGTTGTCTCTGAGTAATGATAAGAAACAAGATTGGTCATTTTAGTGATAAATATGAGGTTGAAGGAGCTGAACCAGTGTTTATTAATCTATTTCTAATGCTGTACAGGTGCAGTGTGCATTTCTGTTACCCTTGGTAACATTATAAGCATAGTTACTGCTTCAATATTGCGTAGTTAAATCAAGAATTTATTTAGACCAAGGAATTTTCTGTCTAATCTGGCAGCCCTATTGGAGGGTTTGTTTACAAAGTCACCACTTGTGTTCTATGCTATTCAGTTGTTAAAGAAGTGTTAGCAAACGCCCCTAGTCCTTAAGGCACCACAAAAACACAGGAAACCATCGGCACTTGCCACTACCACCTAAACTACCACCCGATGGCACCTACAGCAACCTCAAGGCATCTACCACTAGCACTAAGATTCGTTCATAGCAATCTCCAACTATACCCTTTTGAACGCCACATCTTGTGTTATATTTGTGGAAAACACGGCCGTACACATTAAAAAAAAAGTACCAAAACTATTCAAGTTCTACAGAAAACTAAACGAGGTTTCCACTCCCCGGCCACGCACATGATCCCTTTACATCAAACCGAAAGTCTAAGTGAAACCGGTCATAATACCTAAAATATACGAGTAATTCTAGTATGCACAAATAATACGGTGTATTTCTCTACATTTGTCGCAAACGAGAGCATCTTGGGCGAGCGTGTGCCGCGAAGCCGACAAACTTCGGTCCTAAAAACGCTAGGATTTTCAGGATTAAGAAAAGAGTCTCCGGGCAATTTAAAAACGGCCAGCCATGTGGTGATTGAGAATATAGCGAAAAGCCCTCAGAGGAAGACCGAAAATGACATTAGCACATCACATTGCCTCGAACACAAACACCAACAACACGTGGAGCCTCCGTACTCGGAGTCCTAATATTCGCTTATTTCTGCGAATTTCCACTCTATTCACATGTACCGGCGCACTGTATCCCTTGCAAAAACCCTCTCCTCTTCCTCACCACTGCCATTTCGGGGATAAAACCTCTTATAAATCGTTAATTTCAGCAAAAATATGCCGAGAACTCACTTTTGGGTGGCATGGCTAAGGCAGACGCACTGGAAAGACCTGAGGGAATCAGCGTCTGCGCATGCGTCGACTAAGATGGCGGAGAAACAGAAGAGGGGCGAGATGCGCACAAGGGAATTCTTATTCTGTTGGGGGTTTATTCTTAAATAATTAAGTTTTTTTTTCATTTTGGTGGTTTATTTAGTTTTGGGTTTGGGTTGATACGTAGCTTTTTGGGGAGAATAAAGGCGATTTGGTTTTTGGGGATGAGCTGTATCATGGAGTGTCTATCGCCTATTTTTTCCCTGTTTTTATCTATGTAATTTGTCATTTTTAATTACTGCTATATGAACAACGAAGGAAGAGTGTTCTATAACTACTACACATAATAAAAACTGGGCAACCTACAAACGCTTAGATTTTATTCTTTACTCCTGTTTCCCTCTATATGAAATAAAAAATGTAAACTGAATTTCCTATAAAATAAAAAAATGAATTAACATATAACTTCATAAATGCTTTTAAAAGATAAAACGAATAAAAACAGTCATATGAAAAAAACAACTTTGTTTCTTACTATCCCAACAAACAAAACAAAATTGAAAAGAATAACCCCATTCAAGTAATACCAACAAATAATCACATATATTTAAAAAAAAATCAGTATTAAAAATCTCTTTCTAAAATGAGATGGAAAAAAAATCCCCTTTAGAAAAAAAAAAATAACAAGTCGTCATTGTTTAGGGAATCAACTGATGCAGGAAAGCCTCCCCCGACGACGCAGGATGCTCGTAATAGTGTTCTAATCCTCTCACTTCCGTTCCTTTTCGAGAGATCCTGACACTCCAACCAAGATCAAAATGGGTAAATGTGATTTGTGAATTTATGGAGTTTAGAGGGATGTCGTTTAAGAGGCCGTGAGGGATGTGTGTTATGAGCTGCAGAGGAGTTTTTTAATAGGAGTCTTTGTTGACACAATTGACATCGTAAATGCATTGTCATTTTTTTTTTTTATCGCCTGTTTTCAGGTTATGATTATCTTCGTTTGATGGATTATCGTGTAAGGTTAATGTGGTAGAAAATGTTATAGGGAATATATATTAATGTGACGTGATTTATAAGAATGACGTGATTAAAAGACGAAATTGTGAAAACAAGGAAAAGATTGTCATTTCTAAGGAAAGGGTTTCGAAATCAAGGTCTTTGTTACTGCGTTTCAGTATTTCTTTTGATTTTTTTATCTTTTTAGTATTCATTATTAACGACATGTTCGAGGATGAATAATGATTTCTTTTATGTGGATCTACAATACTATTGTTGGTTGCAAACAAGTATTTTCACATATAATCTGCATACAATGTTTTATAATTTACTATAGTCTGTTACTGAGGATTATAACTGCATTTTTTTTTCTCTTGGCTTATATATATTTGATATGGTTTAATATATTTTGTTTATCTGTTATCAGTTGTGCTTGGTTGCTGATTCTCTTCATAATATAGAACATGTATGTGTATATATTGGGAATGATTTTGAATATATCTATTCCTCTTTTTCTGATTTTCTCCAGATTTTTCCAGATATGACTTGCTTTTTCACTTTCAATAAATCTCTCTTGATGAATTGAGAATTGTATTATTTTTAGGAAATTTAGATGCTTTTCTTTTTATAAAGTTTTGAATCTACAACCAAGTAAATTATGAAAAATACATTTGGCTTAGTGATCAAATTGAATGAACAGATAGATTGACAAATAAAGTGATTGATTAATTGTTGTATATATTATGTATTATTATATATATTACATATTATATCATTACATATTATATACATTTATATATATTATATATATTGTATATATTATATATTATCATATACTATATATTGTATATTAGTATATAGTATATTATATAGTATTTTATATAGTATTATATATATATTATATGTATTATATGTCATGTATTATTTATATACAATATAATATAATATAATATAATATATATATTAGTACATGACATATGATATAATATATATATATATTATATTATATTATGTCATGTATATTATATATATATAATGTATATATAATGTGTAAAGTATAAAATAACCAATATTAATTGTAAAAATATATCAGTAGCTGTAGTTAACATGCCAAAATTAAAGAATTGTAAGAGAATAGGAAAGTTATCAACTAGAGTTTAAGGGAGATTTTAAGGAATTATTATAAAATGGAAAAAAAACAAAATCTTGGCATTCCTCTCGCAGTTTGTATGTGGCTGCCTTTTATTATTTGCTTTCATTGATTTGCTTTTATAATAATTGCATAACATTTCTACGATTTCTCCAACATCAGGTTGCTGTTGTGGATGTAAGATCTGTTGCTGTGCACTTCTTGTGATCGTGGTGATCATTGCAGCTAGCCTGGGTCTCTTCGGTGCCTTCTTCCCTTATCCAAGCCATGCCTCGTGCCGTGTTGACTGGTAAGATATTGAATTTATGTTTAGGTTGTTTTTGTTTTTGGTAGTCCTTGTTTCAATGGGCATGTTTTGGGGAGGGGAGAAACATTCTTCCTTGTTGTTATCCTCACCCTCTTTCTCCC